GACACTGTTGGAATAATGCAAAACTCCAATTGACTGGGGGCAAGAATTCACCTTCCAAAAGGAATACAATGTACAAAGGCTCAGACTCAGATGACTCAGCCATGGAGAGGTCGTATCTGATTCCCTTCTGTCATGAACTCATTGGTACCTATAGGTAGACCTCTTTGTTTTCTGTTAGCTTCACTTCCTAGATCCCAAACATGGGAACTTTGTGCAGACATAGTAAGCCAGTTTTAGATTTAAGAAGTGAACATGATTCTTCCACTTTACCATTATATTTGAATACTTCTAAAGCTGCTAAACTTGCACATATCATATGTTTCACATTAATTCTTAGGCCAGAACAAAATATGAACTATCTTGTATTTTTGCATAACTCAGTACTGCTGACACAGTTGTTTTTTTTTTTTTTTTTGGGAGCAGCAGCTGTGACATTGTCATAACATCCACCCCCCAACACCCCCCCCACAACACTTCTAAATTGTAAAAATCAGTGTATTGTTTCATCCAAGCTTACTGTGGAATTAGTGCCATGCAAAAACATTTACATTTCTGTTCCAACTTGCTCTTTCAGCAATTACGGGACCCATTGTGGAATGTAGTAGTGCCGAAGGGTAAGAAATCAGATACAGAGGCATTAACCTTTTGGAAGAATTGTGACATGCAAATACCCCTGTAATACTTTTTTACTTTTTAAAGGATGAAGCCTCAGACCATACAGTATTCTATCTGCATTTTTGTCTAATCTGTCTTTTATTCTCCAGGTGAAAGCGATTGAGGCTTAAACAAAAGTGCCAATTCAGTCTGTAAAGGTGTTCAGGCTTTCAGTCTGGAGTGACATGTGTACCAATGCCAGCAAAACAAAGAAAGCAGCATTTGGATATGAGGAAGATTGCCCTGATTGTGACAATTGCAAGAGAAAAGGAATACTTATGCATGTGTGTCTGTATGGCATTTATAGCACAAGCTGCAGTGATTTCTGTTTGAGGTTTCTCATCAAAGGCACAATTTTCTGTCTGCATGTTTAGACAGAAAAAAGTCCCATTTAGTTGCAAAGAATGCTTCTGCACCTACTAGCCTACCACAACAAAGCCAGTATAAAGAAATTAACCCATTATTTTACATGATTTAACAGTAAATTAAGTTTAAACACCACTGAGCATGTACAGTGCGATTAGGTTAAGCAAGGATAACAAAAAGGCTTTGTAACAAAAGTAGGTCATAACCAACCTTGTCCAAACACAGAAGCACTGGCAAGTTCTAACTGCACAGATTGTCAAGTGAACACTCCATTTTCAGCTACTTATTTCCGGTTAAAACGCATATGTATTAAACTTCCTTAAGGTGCAGTTCTGTCTCCTCCTGGCATTGTCTAAGAGACAATAGAATTCTTCAGTTTGAGTGCCAAGAGGACCTCCCACCTCCGTGCTCAGACTGGAAAGGCCGATCCCCTGTCCAGCTCCCTCACCAATGATCTGGAAAGCACCATGTCAGTGTGCCTGCCCTGCCCCCCAGGGTTTCAACTGGACCTTGGAGGGGTGAAAAGAGATGTGCAGGGGGAGCAAGGAGTGGAGGGGTGATAGGGCTTCTGCTGCAGGGGTGATAAGATTGTGTCCTTAGCTAATAATATGTGATACCCGTTGTTCTGTTTCCATTGTTCATTTCCGTTGCAATAGGAATCTTACATTGTACAGCTGACTGTATCCACTTTGGAGAAAAGGCATGGGTGGGACAAGAGGACACCAGAATTCTCATTTTGAAAGGGGCAACTGCTTTTCCATAAGTGAAAAATCCACTGGGCAGGATGAAAATGCTGCGTCAAAGTATGGGCAAGGCCCAGCACCTGGAACCCGAATTTCAGCTGTAGTGATGAGAGTAAAAGTGATTATGCGGTCATGATAACACCAACCACCACCTGCAACTCCATTGAGGGTCATGGTAGCCCTTCTGGCAGAGGAGGCCTTGTTTATGAGCCAACAGAAAGAGGCAGACTCCTGAGGAGTCTTGCTCTGCAGGCAGGCACTTATTTACTTTGTCAGGTGCCTGTATCTTTAACTGCTGGCATGTTCAGAGGCTAGCCAAGCTCTCTGACTCTCCAAAAGGAACATATGGAGCCATCTGTTTTCTTGGGTCTGTTTCCTGGTAAGGTCTGGATCCAGGTGTTCTAGATGTTCCTCTGACGAGGGGCCATGCATGCTTCCCAAGGGCAGCTATGACACCCAACCGGTTGGGAGTGGCTGGGACATGACTTCTTGTATGCAGGGGTCAGTGAATTCTCAAAATGAGACTTATTGAACGCTAAATTAGTCAGACCATGATATGTTGTAATCAGACAATATATCGAGGTGAACAAGTTTAGACATTGTACTCACTTAGAATATAGGAATTACTTTCAAACTTCTCATAGTATTTTTGTTGAATTGCAACTTTCAAAACATACGTTTGAATATGTCTAGATTATTTCACAGCAATTCGTTTGAAAGTAATTGATTTGGGGAACAATGGCTATAGGTAGGGTATATGCATGTATATATTTAATTTCAAAAGGCCAGAACAAATCATTAAAGTGCCTAAAACTCTTTAACATTCAGAGTTCACTGTTGTCATTTTCATTTACTCATTTCAAGGTTTCCTTTGTTTGGCTTTGCTCAGGCTTGTCCCCATTTCCATGGTTACCATGTTGAAAGCAGGCAGGACACAGGCTGCATTCCGATCAGAGTTGTTCACGAAGCTCCATACCAGAAGCATATGTCTGACTCTTTTGGGGCAATGTTCTCAAACATTTGCTTTTTGACAGGCCATTGAACATGGTGGCCTTTTAAAATATAAACTTAATTTGTCCTGTAAATCAAAGCACACAACACACCTCGTATTTTAATAACTGTAGGCTCATTTTTAACTGGCTGTGTTTTGGGAAAAAATAGTAGACTATACCAAGTCTGTATTATGAAAAGCAGAAGCGCCGAGCAGTGCGGGCCTTTGTTAACCTGTCTGATAATCTGGTCCTCAACAGCACAGCCTCTGTCTCCAGAATTAGAAAAATAAAGAAGAGAGTCATTGTGAGTTACTGCCTAGAATGGGGAGCTACATGTAGCTCAGGCCAAATTATTTGCAGCCCCAATTTTATAAGGCCTACAGAGATGGAGCTACAGAGAGAAAAAGAAAGAGAGATAAACTGGCACACAGAAAGAAAAGGCTGTAATATTACAGACTTCATCCACTTTTAGCTCCTGCTGTATTCCCCGACAGACCACCCCAGGGGAATGTGACTGATGACAGAAGACACATTCCCTAGCTCAAGAAAATCTGCTAAAGAGTCCAGATTGACTCTGTCCTTGCTTATCTGAGATTATAGCATTCATCTGAAAGGCTAGTAACATCTCACTTCAGCATCTGCATACAGAAAGGTTGCAACACTCACAAGCGGAACATAACTTTGTTTCTAAAAGTGCGAGTATAACTATTCAGAAGTTGCCCCATGTCCCAACACTCTTCCTGCAGTACCAGCATGTAATCTCCAAATGCATTCTTTGTGATCAGCCACATATGCATATATTCAAAATACCCTTGTAGTTGGTGAAGTGCATCACTGTCTGGGGAGAAATCTGATAATTCAAGCACATTTGCATAACATTTATTTTTTTGCAGCCATCTGTATGCAGGTGTTCCGTTTCCTTAGCACTCAAGTTTTATCTGGGATGGGGTTGTGAACACAACTCCAAGCTTCAGGTTTGTTGCAGCCTGGCCACACCCATGGGAAAAAGAAAATGCACAAAATGAACACATATTAGACTCTCTTTGTGGCTGCAGTGGCACAAGGTTCTTTCTTGGCTGGTTATTTTAGCCTCTTCATGGCTCCAAACTGTGTAGATAGGATGTATGGAAGACATTGGGAGCAGGCTTATGAATAGCTGGTTTCCTGTGGTGGCGAAGATCAGGGAAGGAAGCATTAAAAAGCCTACTTCATCTTTTCTTTCAAATTACAAGTGATTATTAATAGGAATATGTGGCCATGCAGGCGTCCAAATATTTCTTTGGTGTTGTGGAGACGTTTCCCTTCACCTCTTTATTGTTTAATTTGTTCTCATACAATCTTGTGAAAGTTTGGGCACAAAAAAGACCTACAACTCCCAATATGCCAAAGACCTACAACTCCCACAGGCCTTTCTGTGTTTAAGCTCTCTTGTTCCTTTAATGATGAATCATTTGGAAATGCATATTTATTTATTTAAAATATTCTAGATAAATATTGCAGAGGGATGTGATTACCTTGTGCTTTGGGAAGCCATTCTGGCAGCCACAACTTCAAGAAAGAGCCTCTTTTAAAGAAAAGGGATGGCAGGAAGGAATGTTTTTTGGCGTGTGCTCCATGATAATACTTTAAAAATGCACATCTATAGGAAACACATGGGGATTTTTTAGTTGGGCTGCTATATTTGGAGTTGAAAAGCAAAACTAGTCTTACTGTGACACTGCAGAGGCATTTCTGTAACATTTTCTTTTATATTTTGATGGAGGCTAGAGTGCTCAGGACTGGATTAAAGGAATCCAATGCATGTACACACAAACATGTGCACTCACACACAATGTTTTAGGTAATATAATGGTGCTCCTTTAATGAGACATGTTTCATATAGTAACGTAAGGGGCTTCAGTCAAAAGGAACATCAGCAACAGTTCCCCCATTTTCACACATACTTTTTGCACATATAAAGGCTTCTCTGGGCCCAGCCATCTATATGAATTTGAATTACATGCTGTTGTTGTTGTTGTTGTTGTGTTGTGTTATTGTGTAAGTATTCATTTTTGACAAAATTAGGCAATTGTACATAAATTCCATTAACTACCAGTTGTCTAGCCAAACAGTTCCTTTTCCTACTTTGACAGTGGTCATTCAAGTATGAAATTAGCAAATGAGCAAATATTGTAGTTGCCTGTTCTTGTCATAGTTCAGCGAATATCAAAGGAATTTATATAATCTTTTAAATGTATACTACAAGATGTTTAAGTTGTAATTCTTTAGTATAAACAAGTTGTTTTCATAATACCACAAGTGCTTGTTTGGGCACAAATCTGTTTGGCACAGACTGGGTGGGATCAAATGAAAGGTGAGGAGCAGCCATCTTGGATGTCCCTGTGCCTGGCATATTTACATATAAAGCAGCAAGTGGGAGTGCCATTTTTTTAACAACATGGAGTGTGAAGAACCAGCGATTTCTCAGCCTTACTCTCTGGTGCTCTGGTGCTCCACTTTTCTATACAGCCTGATTTAAATAGCAGAAGAACCCCATTACTGGGGTGGTAATGAAAAAGTCCCTGACATGATTGTGTACTAAGAGGTAATATGAGGAAGATGGGAATATGGATGAGGGAGAAATTTGCTTATGTTTGCATTATAATATTTGCTTTTTGACCTAATATGCAACCCAAAACACAATGATCCAATGCAGTTGTCCAATCTATATATATGCATAAAGTGTGTGTACATCAAGGACAATTGTACACAAAATGCATATGATAGGGAAACTTTCATATAAAAAGGAAAACTTGCTTGCAGAAATACTTGGGAATTTTCATACTGAATGTTTAGAAAATTCCAACTGATATGAAAATAAGATGGATGCAAACATTATAGAAAAACAGAAAAGATGCAAACATTATAGAAAGACAACTTCCTTTATGCATTCAATCCATCTCATATTTGGCCTTCCTTTTCTTCATCTGCCTTCGACTTGCCATAACATGATTGTCTTCTCCAGCAAGTCCTGCCTACTCATGATTTGTCCAAATATGAAAACCTCAGTTTTATCATTTTTGCTTCTAGGGAAAGCACTGGCTTGATTTGATCTAGGATCCCCTTGTTTGTTTTTCTGTCAGTCCAGGATGTCTGCAAAGATCTCCTCCAGGACCATGTTTCAAATGCTTCAATTTTCTTCCTGTCAGCCTTCTTCACTGTGCAGCTTGCACATCCATACTTAGTGATCAGGAATGCCTTGGTCTCCAGTGAAAGAAGGTTAGTGTCGATTTGTGAGGTTTTTCCCCCCTGTTCATGAGGTTTTAGCTTGACAATTTTAGTATGCTCCAAATCTTTGCGTTGCCTTGAGCTTGCTGATACCCCACCTCTCATCCATGGGTGGTACTGGTTTTGGTGCTCAAAGGATTCACATTAGGACAATGAGCTCACTGTTACGAGTGAGTATGCTGTGTAGGAAGTGCTGCCATATACTAATAGGAATACAACCGCTCATAATAGCAGTAAAAAGTCATAGATGTAAAACTGAAGCAGCATTATGCCATTACTAAAATTTAGGCACACACACTGCATTTTTGCTTTATAAATATAAATTTTATCTTCCACACAAAAAGAGACATGCTCTTATCCATCTAAAGGCTAAAAATAGGCATGGAGACACTGTAGGCCTTTATCTGTAACTATTTTGAGTCCAGATATTTGAATAGGTTTTCCAGTGTGCTGCATTTTAATGAAAACCAGAAAAAGATCCTAGTCTGTCTTCATAAACCATGTTGTATTTAACAATAAAGCATCACATTTAACATATTTACGCAATAAGAAATTGTGTAGAGACCATTTTTCTTTTCTATCAATGCAATGATTCATATGTTTACATATAATAGAACTGCTGTCACTGCATTTCATTTCATTTATTCAGGTGATATACAGAATTATGCCAAACAGCATTAGGAAGGGGGCAGCTTTTCATCTGCGATTCGCTATAGAAAAACTGTGTTTCCAAGTGGTAGTTTAGATTGCTCAGCCCTTCCTTTGTATGACAAACACACAGACATAACTTCAGAACAATCCACATTCTGAGGATGTTCCCTTATTTAACTGCAAGGCACAGGGCACCCTGCTGAAGAATGCTTTCAGCATCCTTCATTTCTGTATAGCTATCTGTTAAAATATTACAGGTTTAACAAAAGGGGCATAGGAGAACCCCTTTGCTTAAGGTAAAGCAATATTCCAATGTCCTGAACAGAGAGAAGGAAGTGAAGAAGTAGCTCCCACCTGTTCATCATTTCTGCTTCTTACCAACAATCTGTTATTGGTTGGGTCAGAGCTGTGTGCCATGTGAACCCAAATCCTTGGGTTGTTTAGTGGTTAGGCAATATACAGATTAATCCAAAAACAAACTGTAGGTTAACTGCTGAGTGGTTTAGCCGTCTAATGAGACCATTGCTCTAGGTTCACATGCTGCATTCAGCAACTTACAACACAGTTGATCATAGGTTGTAGAATAAAAACATAAGTAGCGGCTGCTGTGCAGCACCTTCTTGCACTCCTCCGCTCATGATGGCAGGTTGTGGGTCAATGATGATCCCTCTAACTGCCCGCTGGTCAAAAGACTTTTAGAGGAAGCAATGCAATGGGACAGATAGATCAAGAATTTACTTAGTGGTTAAATTTCATGGAATATATGGAAAAAAATCAGTGGGAAATTGACCAGGTAAGCCTTTCTTTTTGCTGATATAATTAACACACCCTGTGAGCTATTAACTTGAAACTTGGCGTTCATGAACTACTGGATGAAGTCTACAATTGTACCAAATTCTGAAGCAATCTGTTAAGAATTGCCACAGATACAGCCAGTTGTAAACGCTGAAAATTAACAACTGTTTTTACTCCATCACAGCTATAGCCAGCCCCAAAGGCATCCAATTTGTGATGTAATTAGCAGGTGCAGGGAAGAATATTAAAGCCCCCTGCCTTCCTTTCTAGGGTTGTGATATATACTACATCCTGTCTACTTACTTTTGAATGGAAAAAGCAAAGCAAAGCAAAGCAGCTACATCTGAATAGTAGCATGTATGTGAATTGAGTAAGTGTGTTTGTGCATTGGTGAGGACGCAAATGAATCTGGGCCTCACACCACCTTTCTCAAGCAGAAATGCTGCATGGAAATCCTTGCTGTTGTTTTCTGTGTGTTAGGAAAAAGAACATCACAGGATTATGTTTCATAGTAGGGGTATGGTCACATGTTACACTGAAAATGTGTTCACACTGTATATTATTTATTTATTTATTTTATTTAAAACTTTCATATTCTGTCATGACATGCCTTGGCATTTTGGGACGGCTCACAATACATACAATTAAAAACAATAAAATGATCTTTATAAATAACATCAATAAAAGATTACATAAGGACAAAAAACAGAAACAAATATGTTCATTAAGAAGTCTGTGAGAATTTCCTTCTGTGTAAACCCTACATGGGCAGATGGGAAGTGAGGATGAGCTTGCTAGTCAATGCCATCCTTTACTGTTCTCATCATTTTCTGCACATGAAAGGTGATTGTCCAGGGAGGACACCGCTACCACCACCACATTACATTTACATTCCACTCTTTTTCCTCCTGCAAGGAACCCAAGGTAACTTGCATAGTCCTCTCCCTTGCGTTTCATCCTCACAACAATTGTGTGAGGTAAATTAGTCTGAGAGTCGGGCTTGCGGAAAGGCACACAATGACTTCACAACTGAGTAGGGACTGAAAACCAGATCTTCTGAGTCCAACATGCAGACCACTACACCACACTGACTCTCAATAGATCACTTCCCGAAGCTGTTGTCATTCTTCCTGAGATCTCAGGGCCACAAATTGTACCCGTCTTCAACTTACCCTAAGGTGGACATAAGCTGATTTTGAGTCTTTCTGGCCTTAATCCAGAGAGGAAGGGACTGGCAAAGTTACCCCATGCTGGCCTACTCCTGGATAGCTTTATGAAGTATCTGAGCTCAACTGTTTTGCAGAGATGGGCAACATCTGGCCCCTTTTCCATTCCCCTCCCAATTCTTTACTGTTTCCCTCCCCTTCTCAAAAAAAAAAAAAAAAAAGTATCTGTTGTGGCAGTTATGGTGTGCCTGACTGTCAAATGTAGCTGGTCTGTAAACTAATTTGACCCCTTAGTTATTCCTTAGCTTCAGACTACAAGTAGCCTCACTCAGGCTAGGTTAGTTTTATGCTCAGTCGTGGAATAGTTAATTTATTTTATTTAGGATATGAAATCATGTAAGCCATCCAGAGACAACAGTGATAGATGGCCTATAAATTTTCTAAATATGAACGAACGAATTTGAGTTTCCTTCTTTAATCCAGATTGCTGCATGTACCATACCTGGCATGCCTGGGAATAGTTGCAAGGTTCAGGGAGCTCTTATCTGCAAACAGTCTGTGTTCCAATTTCTCACCAGATTTTAGTGTTCTCTGCTTGGAAACAGTTACGATTCTCTCACTTTCATGTTCATGTTCACGTTCACGGGAACATTCAGAAAGCAGTAAGCAGCATATGGACTGTGGATGTTGCATCTCAATAAGCAGTGCATCTTAAGCACAATCAGTACTTGTAAGGCTTAAGCACAATCAGTACGTGTAAGGAAATAAACAGTTCTTCTCTGACTAGCTGCCCGTGCGATCCAGTGACCTGGTTCACATGATGACCACCGTGGGTCATCTGAATCATGTCAATTGAATCCAGAGTGCTTTTTATCGGGTGGCTTATTTTTCATAAGCAAGCCATGCTGAGAATCCATGGCATGTTTTGCAATTGTTTCTCACAATGGATTGTTGCATTATCTGAGCCTGGCAGGATGGTGTCATTGTTGGTTGCCAGTAATAGTTCTAGCGCCACTTGGCAAGAGCAGCAAAAACTTGTGTTTGCTTCTGTGATCTTCCACTGATGCTGAAGCAGCGCTTTGGCAGACTGTCCCGTTTTCCTTGGCTTTTGTGCATGGCTGCATTGCAAAAATGTGAAATTCAGGTTGTTGTGGTTGTGTTACTACTACTACTACTACTACTACTACTACTACTATTGTGCACAATTGTGTGCTTGTGTCTTTCTGACATGTGTATTCTTACCTGGTCTATTTCTTGTCTGTTTCAGCTTTCAGTGGGAGTTGGGAGTGGAGTAAGTGAGAGATTGACAAAATGAGGCTACCTGTAGACAAATGTGCATGCAGTTGCCTAGCTATGGAGCAACACCATGACAGGAGGAAAGCACACCAAAACTGAGCACCCTTGTGTGGGGGTGGAATATCTCCTCCTTGGCAATTCAATTCACTATGTTTTAAGAATTGTACTAACAGTACTCAGTGCCTGCTGCATTTTCAGCACTTCTCTGAGCCTCCTTCTATTGCAAGAAGAGGAAATACTTTCTGGAGCAGTCACTGCAGGCATGAAGATTTCATCTTCATTTACTTTTATTTGCATATAGTTCTGCTTTTTAAATATTTTTTAGAACTGTTAGGTAACCACAGAGTAAAAGCTCTGAAAAGGGGCTATGAAAAAGGTGTGTGTTAAGATCTCCCCTTTCTTGAGTATCTGGGGCATTAAGAAATGTTGAAAAGGTAGAGGACACGATGAACTGTTAGTTCAACACTTAAAAACCAGAGGATTAAATTGCTAAATTGGTCCCCTTTTGGTAGACATTTTTTGCTGCTTTTTCTGCTTTATCAATGCTTTTCTGCTGACAACTTAGTATTTGTTCCCTGGCGATGGTGTGCAGAATAGCCTATATGCAGTCAAGTTCCGTGAACGCTCCACTTTGCTCCTTCCACTCACAGCTGAAATTGACTACAAGGCAAGACTACACCTGTTGGACAGCCACAAATGCACACTAGCAGAGGACCAACAGCATCATAGACACACTGGCACTATGTTCAAGGGTCAGCCACCCCAATTCCAAAAAATTACTGGTGTTGAACAAAAAAGGCGAGCATGGAGGGGAAGTGGGAGACAAGATGGGATCTGCTGTGAAAGATATGGGGTAAAAGCTGGAAAACTGAGGGGGAAAACAAGCCCTGGTGAGCCACAGCTGGACAGACTATGACTTGTTTACCGTAGCTTATTCACAGGGTGGTGTCTTACAGTGATGTCTGAATGCAGCCAGTGAGTAAGGAATAGGTGCTAAGCTGTCAGATCTTCCAGTCTCTTTCAAGCAATTCCTGACATGAACCCAGACTTTTGAAAGCTTGATGTAATCAAGGTCATTCAAAG